CGAAGTCTTCGCAAGCCAGAAGGGCGACATTCTTTGAGGACGAGCGTGGAGGCGTCAAAATCGACACCTTGGTTACCACACCCAGCGTACCCTCAGAGCCGATGAACAACTGCTTCAAGTCGTAGCCCGTGTTGTCCTTGCGCATCGTGCTGAGGCAGTCGATCACTGTACCGTCCGCAAGTACGGCCTCAATACCCAACACCGTTCCGTGCAGAGATCCATACCTTAGCAGTCGAAGACCACCAGCATTGGTCGCGACATTGCCACCAATTTGACACGTTCCTTTGGCTCCAAGATCCAGCGGCATCATGTAGCCGTGCTTGGCTACGTAGTTGTCCAGGTTCTCCAGGATACAGCCAGCCTCACACACCAAAATGCCCGACACCTCGTCAAACGAGATCACGCTGTTCATTGAGCTCGTGGATAGCACGATCTCGTCGTAAACCGGCACGCTGCCTCCCACGAGACCCGTGTTGCCTCCCTGTGGCACAACTGGCAGGTTACGCTCGTTGCAGTATTTGAGGATGGCTGAAACTTGCTCTGTGGTCTTGGGTTTAAGCACCATCTGGTGGTTGCTCTGTGCCTTGTACTTCTTAAGCCAGTCCACCGTGTAGGTCTCGGTGTCATCCGCGTCGGTGAGCACGCTCTCGGGTTTGAGTAGCTGCTGGAAGTAAGCTTTGTCATCTTCCGTCCAGGAGGCGTGGGCGGGGTTGCGCGCGGGTGTGGAAAAGGCGCGTAGACCCGCAGACTGCTGGACGGTGGAGAGGGCCCTATTCTGACGACGAGCGGTTCGCAGGAGCGTAGGGAGGATCATCTTGAGTCGGACGGAGTCGAATCCAGAGCGACGTACGTATCTTTTTGACTGGCGAAATATGCGCAAACAGCTTCGTGCAACATTCAAACGACATCGCAAGTTGAAGTTGGCTCAAACAGGACGAATTGCTGCCAAGCTGTCCATTCCTGCCCTGCTAGCAGTGCTACAGTGTGACAAGAAGATATCGCACTGCGAACATTTACCACGGTGAGCGTTGGTTATTTCCGATGCTAACACCGCTTTCGTTTTTAAAAAAATGCGCTCGTTTATTGCTCAATAGCGCTCGAACTACAGGTCTATTCGCTTGCGGGCAGAACCTTGTACGGGTTGAGGATACCCTTGGGGTCCATCATCTGCTTCATTTGCCTCATGAGCTGGATGGAGTTGTCAGACTTGGACAAGTGGAGGTACGACGGCTTGTGCGTTCCGATACCATGCTCCGAGCTGATGCTTCCGCGGTACTTGGACGTCCACTCGAAGACATAGGGCTCCAGCGCATTGAACACCTTCTCGTCGTACTTGAGCGTTGAGATGTTGAGGTGCAGGTTGCAGTCTCCCATGTGGCCAAAACCGACCACCTCAGCACCTAGAGGAGCCATTTTCTCACGAACCTCTTCCACGATCTTGTAGTACTGGTCCATGGGCAGCGAGATGTCGTACTTGTACACGTACCCACGTGAGCTCAGCGACATCGAGATATCCTCACGCAACATGAACAGCTTCTGCGCCTGGGCCTCGTCTTGAGCAACCGTACCATCAACCACAACACCAGATCCCATGACATCTTCCAGGTATGCCTCCAACTTCTCCATGTCGTGGTCAGAGTTGCTACCCGACGTCTCAATCAACACGTAGAATGGGCTTGGCGTCTCGAGTGGATCTTTCGTCCAGTCTTGTTGAGTAAGAACCATGTCCAGAGACTGACGGTCCATGAACTCTACGGCCGACAGAACCTCGCCCAGGTTCTTCTTCGCTTCGACAAACGCCTTCTGGCAAGCCTCGAAGTCTTCGCAAGCCAGAAGGGCGACATTCTTTGAGGACGAGCGTGGAGGCGTCAAAATCGACACCTTGGTTACCACACCCAGCGTACCCTCA